GATTTCTTTTCACTGATATTGCAAAGTCATAATCTGCTCAAGCGAATAGTGAATTTAAAGGCAAGTTAATTCTTGCTTGTAACCCCTTTTATATATTTGTGCTAAGATCACTATTTATGATTTAATTATAGAATTCATGAATTTTGATTTGGTTAGAATGGTGGAGATTGCATATAGAAGCACTGAGTTAATATGATGTTATAGATTTGTATGGTGCTATATTTTGTACTTCTAGATTACCCTTGTATAAGGGTACTATGGAGAATTACTAGTGATGTTTACAAGTCATTTTGGAATTTTGTCAATCTCCAATAGAATTAGCCTTGAGTTTATGACGCATTATAAATCTGACATTGTTTATACATTATTTGTAATACCCCTAATTTCAAAAGGATAGTCCTGGTATTTAATTTATGTTTTAATTGACTTTTTAATTATTTGACTTATTTGTATTATTTGAATTAATTATTTCGTTTACTTGTTTTCTTTGATTTAATAAATTGTTGAATTCTTAGACTTATTTAACTTACATTAAGTGCTGCATTTTTGTGACTGGATTTATTATCTATTTAATTGTTAATACTGCTTTAATTGTTTTATTTAATTTTGTTGATTTTTAATTGATTTATTTGTAATTGGTTTAATTATTTTAAAGGTAACTTAACTGTTTTAAATTATTAGGGTTTTGTTTAATTTCATCGTGTTTTAGTTTGAGCCGACCCATAGGTGGTTTAGGATTAAGGTTAGGGTTTCAACTTAAGCCTATAAATACATATGTATACATCTGCTAAGGGTTTTTGTAAACCCTATTCACCATAGTCACGTACACAGTGATACAGAGAGTTGTGAGGGCAGAGAAACAGAAAGTGAGTAATTTACAGAGAGGGCATAGGAAGGCTGAGCAAGGAAAACTAAAACTCAGAGACGTGGATTCAGTGTTTCAACTTTGAACTTAAAGGCAAGTTCTGTTCTATTCTTTTCCGTTAATTCGTGTTCTGTGCATGCTTAGGAAGACTCCAGGGATTAAACTAATGCTTAAACAATCTATTATACACGTTTAAACTGATAATTAACTTCGTTGAATGGAACTGTTATACCAAAATTCTTTAGGTTTTTGTTAGTTGGTTTCTCCTGTAACATGTTTATTTTCTTGTTTAATTGAGATCAACGATTCATATGGTTGCCTAGTAATTAATCTAGGACTGAGTTTGAACTCTAGAACAGGTGCTTAGAACAGTATTTAATTGCATCAAATTAATCTGAATTAAATCTATCGCAGCTTGTTTAAATTGGTTAACAGAGGTGTTGTAATTGTTGCTTTAAAACTTGTGTTCCTACACATGTTAGTATTGGATCTCAGTGGTTTAAACTTATTTAGGACTAAGAATCTAGAATAAGAATTAGAACACACCACAGAGGCTCTGTAATCACCGGAGTCGGAGAAGATAAAGTTGGAACGGGCAACAGGCCGCTAAAGGGGATGGAGCAGGCTCTAAAACACAAAGGAGCCGGCTCAAAGGCAAAGGAGCCGGCTCTATTAGAGTTTGGAGTCGGCTCAATGCTGAAGGAGCCAGCTCTAACCCAAAAATGGAGTAGGCTCAATGTTTTAATTGAGCCTGCTCTTTCTTGAAACGCACTAAAATGAGTTTTAAGGGCTGTTTGGGCTGCATAGTGTTTTCTAAGGCTATTTAAAAGTTACTGTGAGATGTAATTAAATTTTAGGGACTTAAATAAATATTGAAAACATTTAATACAATAATGGTTTAAGGAAAGGAGCAATGAACTCAAATAATGGCTATACGTTGCACTGTTTTTGCTAGGTTTATATGACTGGAACTTGGCAAAGTTTTTATATATAATTCAATTATATATAATCCTATATTTTTATAGTGTTATAATTATGGTGAATTAGTTATATTTAATTATACTTAGTTTGGATTTAATTGATATTTAATTTGTCTAATTTGTATTAATTTATCGGTTGTTTTGGAGGATTTAAACACTATGATTTATTTTAGCAGTTTAAATGATTGGAGCATGATATTTAGGTTTTGTAATGAATACCTAATATTGATATATGTATGAATTTATACAAATGCATATTCTGGGTTATGGTTGTTGATTATATAATGCTGTTTTAATAACTATGCTATATGGAGGATTTGTATGTACCGGTATGGGACGGCGACATACTAGGTATGGATTAGTCAAACACTAAATCCTACCTAATTTGGATTAAGGTATGGATTAACCCTATGAGTTAAGTCCATCACCTACTTGTGTCATGTCAACAAAATAGTTGAATGACTTAATATGGTTTCAGGATGGATGGATATACATGTACCAGATCACCACACAGATGAATGGTATTATGTACTAGGAGGAGTATGGATTTCATATATTTATTATATGTGCCATGGTATGAGCTTGAGTCTCAGGACCATGGTTAGGGTGCGTATATCGCCTAGGATGGATAGCTGGACAAATGTGTTGTTCCTTGGTAGGTCTAGATACACATGACCACAGTATGTGCAATTTGCATGGTATCTCTATTCAGGCTGAGACAAACCTTTTTAGACTAGTGAGCGTCCTATAGTGTGTACTATATACATATATAGACTACTCTAGATATTGTTGAGTCTTCCTAGGATGTATCTACGTATTGGATTACTGTTTGGATTGTAGTAGATCAGGACTTGCATGTGGGCCTGACCCACTCCTTTATTTTTCAGGTGTTTGTCCGTTCCAGGGTTAGAGCTTGGACGTGCAAAGTAGATACAGATATTCATTCCTCCGATTATGTAGGAATCTTCTCTATGATAGTTGTGGATTTTATTTCTATTATTTCAGTTTTGGTTTGAGAATTTTAATAAAGGGTCCAATGGATGGATTCCCGAGTTGTAAACTTATGGAGTTTTGGATTATCAGATTTGATTAATTATGATTCAAGGATTTCCTTTTAGTTTCTTTCAGCTTTTAGATTTTAATTCTTATTCAATTTGTATTCTGTGTTCATTTTAAAATATTAATTGTTCGATATCCTTCGGGTTTGGGCCTGGGCTTGGGCCTGATCAACCCATGTCTCGGATCCGAGGGATATCACATTATTATTCCTCTGTTATCTCATAATGGTTATTCTAGTGATAAGCTTGAGTAGATTGTTTTGATTTATTAATTGTATTTATATAATCATGATTTAGAAAGAGACTAATATTATTGTAGGGGTTGGGAATTACATTTTAGTTAAATTGATTACATGTATTGGACTTTTGTGTGGCTTGTAATAGAGCACTATAGTGCATATGTATTCATAGATGACACAATACCTATATTTACATGGATTAGGTTTCTAGTTTTGTTGTCGTTAATGTAAATTATTGTCAGAAGAATTTGTTTCATAACCTGTATAGTCAGTAGCAAAAGAGATATTGAACCAAGATGAGATAATTATTTCAACCAATTAAGGACTGGTTTATGGGTTGTGGAACCATGTTTGTAGCATATTTAACAGAGGTTATCCTAATGGAGTATAAGTCATTGCGTGGTTTGAAAAAGAGTAAATGCTTGGAGTTCTGTATTTTACAGAGAATGAAAATTGCTTTAGTTATCACACATGAATTGATAATGGTGATTAAAAGTACTAAATTATTGGAGTAATGAATAAGATGAAGGTAGTGATTGGGAGTAAATGTGTTTTGAGGTTTTGCATGTCATGAATTAAAATAGCCATTGATATATATAACTTTTCTTTAAGGCCATCAGTTATGTTACATTTTGGAGTTATTAGAATTAGATATTTAAGGTTGACTTTGTGTTGATGATTGACTATGACTTGGTTGATATAAGCAGGAAGTATACAAAATCAATGATATTGAGGTTGAGACTACTGAGTTGGTACCGTTATGTTCGTATCTATGAAATAATTAATTAATCATTAATTAAGGTGTTTGATAAATTCATGATATTATGAGTAAGAATTAATTAAGTATATTTAGTGTTTAATTGATGTGATTGAACAAGTTGGAGCAGTAGTCTGTGACTTATACAATGATGAGTTTGTTGAGCACAGTCAGGGACTGTCTTCGGGAGTGAAATTACTCTTTTGCTATGGCCATTGGGCTAAAGGTGCCCTTAGTATATGGACGTGGTCAGGGGTCATCTGGGTTAGTAGACGTACAACCCAGCCACATGTGTGTATTTGGTAGTCAAGGATTATGCAATTCACACCATTTATTTGGAGTGGAGCCAGAGGCTCATGTGAGGTATTGGCATTAGAACGCCAATTAGTTGAGGGGAGCTAGGGGCTCATGTGAGGGTAATTAGAATTTTAGTAATTTAAATTCTAAATGGGTTACAAGTTCACAGGTTGAGTTAATGTTATAGAACGACGATGATTAGTAGATATTTTATGGTCACTTATATGTATATATATATGGATTATAAGTAAGGATTGACTTGCTGAACGATGATGGTGTTTAGTAATTTCTTGCTGAGCTTGTGAGCTCGCCCCTTTATTACTTTCAGGTGCACATGGATTTAGCTTGCAAAGGAGGCTCAGTTGGAGAAGGAGATTTTCGGATTTTTACATTATGATTTTATTATTGTTTCTTAGTAAACACTTTGTAATAAAAATCACCTAGTTGGTGGAATTTTTTAAATTAGTTGGGGATGTAACAGATTTCCTTTGGATTAATGGATTTTTTAATAAAATGTTTTCTTATTGATTTAATCATGGATTATGGTGAATGTATGATGTGAGTCACGCAGCACATTTTAGTATAGGACAATGGTTCTTATGTTAAAATTTTTGGGGCGTGACAGTTTGGTATCAGAGCATTAGGTTTAAGAATCCTAGGGTGAAGGGAATGTTGTAAGAGTGGAATTTAAGATATGAAATGTGTTATGAAATGCGTAGATTATCTACTTTCGTAGCATGCTCCATCTTAGGTTTAATTAATCGTTAAAACTAATGATTATATCAATTTTTTTCATTAAATAGGATGTCGGCCGCTGGTAGAGGTCGAGGACGACCTGCTAGAGACAGAGGTCAAGGAGGCGCCAATCAGGGCGGTGCAGGCCGTGGCATGGGCCAAATAGACGAGGCACTTCAAATGCCGAATCCTAATGCGGAACAAGTTCCCATGACTACATACATAAGGGACATACGCAAATTAGGAGCTATTAAGTTCGTTAGAGCTGCTGATCCACTTAAGGCCAAAAAATGGATCGATGACATGGAAAAGTATTTTGAGATGATGGACTGTACTGAAGTGCAGAAAAGGATGATAGCTGCATTTTTCTTGTGGGGTGAGGCACGCCAGTGGTGGCAAACCGTGACTAGGACTACTGTAGACATAGCTGCTATGACTTGGGAAGAATTTAAGACACAGTTCTATGAAAAACATTTTCCGCGGTCCGTGAGAAAAAAGAAAGGAATTGAATTCATGGAATTAGAACAAAGCAATACAATGACGGTTAGTGATTATGAGATAAAGTTCACGGAACTCTCTCGATTTGCTCCTCACATAGTAGCTAATAAGGAACACAAGATTCGAAAGTTTGAGTGGGGTCTGATCTCCCATGTCAAAAGATTGGTAGTCGGGTATAGGTGTGACACTTATGCAAAGGTTGTGGAATGTGCCATGGCAATTGAAGAAAATAACAACAATATTTTTCAGAAGAAAAAAGGAGTAACGGTCACAAAAGAAAGGAAAAGGAAAGGGTACTTTCTAAGAAGCTCAAGGAAGTAAGAATGATCAATTCCAACGTGGCCAATGGGGTTCAAGAGACGATCAAAATGAGCAGAAATGGAAACGACAAAGAATTGAAGGTTCTAGACAAATCAAATCAGTAGGGCCAACAAAAACGGGACAGGAACCATATAAATTCTGGGGAAATTGTTATAATTGTTTGGAGAGCGGACATATGGCAAGGTTTTGTCCAAAGCCACGTAATAGTTCTGAGACAGCTGAAAAGGAACCGCAACTGCAGAAGTGGGAGAAAGAGATTATGAATGAAGAAGTGGGAATTTATTAGTATGATTTTTTTTTTTTCCCCCTCTCTTTAGCTTTTGGCATAGGAATAAAGTAGAGGTTTATGGTTACCTATTAATGGTAGCTAAGCATTTTTATCTTTGAACATTTGGTTTGTTCTTTTCATTTGGACATGAATAAATTTAGATTTATAAAGTCTTGTAAATTCATTGATAATTATTGGATGGTTGTCATTATTTTATGAGTGAAAAAAAAATTAGATGGGCTTTTATTTTATTATCTGATTGCATTTTAGAATCAGGATGACTGGAAAAAAAATTAATGAGGACAAACGGGAGCAAAAGGTCAATTTATCGGCTTGTATGTGAGGGAGAACTCAAAAGGCGGGAATAGATATCAAAAGTTCTATTCCAATAGGTGATATCCCAAAGTATAAACCGAGAAAGGTTTCTTGTGTACGAGATTGGCCTCCATTTTGCGGACACAATGCAAACCCAGTTCCTCTGAAAGAAATGAAAAATGAAGAGGATGATCTTGAAGAGGATCCTAAGGCAGAGTCTCAAGACCATAAATAAAGGTGCGTAAATTTTGAGGACGAAATTTCTTTTAAAGAGGGTAGAATGTAATACCCGTGAAAAAAAAAAAAAAAAAAAAAAAAAAAACATTTATCATTAGATGTATTTATTGGAAATATTAGAGAAGTTAGTTAGGATTTTTTTTTTTTTTTTTTTTTTTTTTTTTTTTTTTTTTTTAACGTATCTTTTAGTTAGATAATTAACTATTATCCTGTATTTTAAAAGTTCAAAAGAGTTCTTTATGAACTAAACCATTGGGCATATATCTATCTCTCGTATCTCATTAAAAATTAGGAGGTATCTGCGCATTTCGGCATATACAAGCTATTCTAAGGATTTCTTTTCAATGATATCGCAAAGTCATAATCTGCTCAAAATAATAGTGAATTTGAAGGCAAGTTAATTCTTGCTTGTAACCCCTTTTATATATTTGTGCTAAGATCACTATTTATGATTTAATTATAGAATTCATGAATTTTGATTTGGTTAGAATGGTGGAGATTGCATATAGAAGCACTGAGTTAATATGATGTTATAGATTTGTATGGTGCTATATTCTGTACTTCTGGATTATTCTTGTATAAGGGCACTGTGGAGAATTACTAGTGATGTTTACAAGTCATTTTGGAATTTTGTCAATCTCCAATAGAATTAGCCTTGAGTTTATGACGCATTATAAATCTGACATTGTTTATGCGTTATTATTCCTTTGTTATCTCATAATGGTTATTCTAGTGATAAGCTTGAGTAGATTGTTTTGATTTATTAATTGTATTTATATAATCATGATTTAGAAAGAGACTGATATTATTGCAGGGGTTGGGAATTATATTTTAGTTAAATTGATTACATGTATTGGACTTTTGTGTGGCCTGTAATAGAGCACTATAGTGCATATGTATTCATAGATGACACAGTAACTATATTTACATAGATTAGGTTTCTAGTTTTGTTGTCGTTAATATAAATTATTGTCAGAAGAATTTGTTTCATAACTTGTATAGTCAGTAACAAAAGAGATATTGAACCAAGATGAGATGATTATTTCAATCAATTAAGGACTGGTTTATAGGTTGTGGGACCATGTTCATAGCATATTTAACAGAGGTTATCCTAATGGAGTATAAGTCATTGTGTGGTTTGAAAAAGAGTAAATGCTTGGAGTTCTGTATTTTACAGAGAATGAAAATTGCTTTAGTTATCACACATGAATTGATAATGGTGATTAAAAGTATTAAATTATTGGAGTAATGAATAAGATGAAGGTGGTGGTTGGGAGTAAATGGGTTTTGAGGTTTTGCATGTCATGAATTAAAATAGTCATTGATATATATAACTTTTCTTCAAGGCCATAGGTTATGTTACATTTTGGAGTTATTATAATTAGTAATTTAAGGTTGACTTTGTGTTGATGATTGATTATGACTTGGTTGGTATAAGCAGGAAGTATACAAAATTAATGATATTGAGGTTGAGACTACTGAGTTGGTACTGGTATGTTAGTATTTATGAATTAATTAATTAATCATTAATTAAGGTGTTTGATAAATTCATGATATTATGAGTAAGAATTAATTAAGTATATTTAGTGTTTAATTGATGTGATTGAACAAGTTGGAGCAGTAGTCTGTGACTTATACAATGATGAGTTTGTTGAGCACAGTCAGGGACTATCTTCGGTAGTGAAATTATTCTTTTGCTATGGCCATTGGGCTAAAGGTGCCCTTAGTATGTGGACGTGGTCAGGGGCCATCTGAGTTAGTAGACGTACAACCCAGCCACATGTGTGTATTTGGTAGTCAGGGACTATGCAATTCACACCATTTATTTGGAGTGGAGCCAAGGGCTTATGTGAGGTATTGGCATTAGAACGCCAACTAGTTGAGAGGAGCTAGGGCTCATGTGAGGTAATTGGAATTTTAGTAATTTAAATTCTAAATGGGTTACAAGTTCACAGGTTGAGTTAATGTTATAGAACGACGATGATTAGTAGATATTTTGTGGTCACTTATATGTATATATATACGGATTATAAGTAAGGATTGACTTGCTGAACGATGATAGTGTTTAGCAATTTCTTGCTGAGCTTGTGAGCTCACCCCTTTATTACTTTCAGGTGCACATGGATTTAGCTTACAAAGGATGCTCAATGGGAGAAAGAGATTTTTGGATTTCTACATTTTGATTTTATTATTCTTTCTTAGTAAACACTTTGTAATAAAAATCACTTAGTTGGTGGAATTTTTTAAATTAGTTGGGGATGTAACAGATTTCCTTTGGATTGATGGATTTTTTAATAAAATGTTTTCTTATTGATTTAATCATGGATTATGGTGAATGTATGATGTGAGTCACGCAACACATTTTAGTATTGGACAATGACTCTTATGTTAGAATTTTTGGAGCGTGACAGTGTGAGATTAGGGTCTACTGCACATCGAACTTTAAGAAACAAGAAAGGCTAGCACTTTTTGATGGAAAAATTTGGGGTCTGAAAAATGTTACATGTGACTGTAAACATCTGAATTTTATTTTTATTTTTTTGCAATATTAAACATTTGATTGATTGGGCCGATTTTGCAAGTCCTCTTTATAATATTTCATAAACCTTTTCGACCAATTAATAATCGCTATCTTTCTAGCTACACCACATTTACCAAATAATAGCTATGAGCACATGGTAAGGAGTTACATGAACCATTCTAATCAGGTAAATAATACCACATTCCATTTATTTATTTATTTTTTTTTTTTGAGGATTCTACTCCGATTGAACGAAGAATATTTTGTTGTTTACTTGAGATCTTTTATTTTTATGAATTGGTAATTTTTTTTTTTTTTTTCAATAGGCTAATAGTGATGAAAGTTAGTGTCTATTATTATTATTTTTTTGTAATATATTTATTTTCATATTCTAGTTATATACCAAACTTTTTGAAAAAAATAACAACACTACAAGTTGAATGTTGATATGGTGAGTTATAGTTCTTCATCTGAAAGGTAATGTTTACTCTTTTTTTTTTTTTCATTTTTTTTTTTTTTTTTTCTAATGCATTTATTTTCATATTTGACTTTTAAAACACCAAATTGTTTTTAAAAAAAAACACCCTAGTGAGCGTTAATGAAGACGGTAATCTTCATCGACATTTGATTTAATAATCTATTATTTACCTACTTGTCAAACATATTTAATCATCTACTATTATCTAGCTAATTTTTAAAAAGAACAAAGAATTTTGATTTCTTTGTGAAGTGCAATAACAACCACCATTATTAAGCAGAAAGTTGTTGCTTACAAATAAGATATTCTTCAATCCTTATTGTCCTCCACTCCAATGGACCGTTAAAATACATTAAAATGAATGGTTAAGAATTACACTTCAGAATTTTCCAGCTCTACAATGATTTTTTTTACTATTCTAAAATATTCTATGATATTTAAAGTACTACCTACAATCATCCATAATTCTCTACAACTCCTATGTTGTACAAACATCATATAGAATCCTCCTCCGCTCTCATGAAAGGACTGTTCCACACTTATTCGAGAATCAAGTATCTTGCACACTTTTCTAACTACTTTTAATGGATCAAATTAACCCTCACTATTTTGGACACTTGCATTAACTAACCATTTCAGAGTGAACATTACTTATTACTACTTCCAGTAACTTCAAAGTCTTAGAAACACAGGAAATAATATAGGAAAAATTAACCTTCCAAATATATATATATATATATATATATATGAAAAATTATAACTTAGTAATACTTTTGCAACAACCAAGTCTTATAAAATTTTTATTTAGACAAAGAAATCCTATTTTTGAAATCTATTTTCAAATAAATTTAAAAATTTAAACTTTTTTTCAATATTACCCTTTTATCAACTTTTAATTCTCACTCACAAAAATAAAAATCCTCTTTAACCATAATCTGTCGCTTGAGCCCCCTTCAAGCCCGTTCAATTAGATCAAGATTAGAAAAAATATATATATATATATATACACACACATAATTTGAATTAAAATTTAACAAATGTTCATGCGAAATAAAACCACTCAAAGTTTGCAAAATTATATTAATAATTTTAATACCTTTAACGTGATGAAAGAAAAGATACAAAAAATTTAGTTTTATTTCAGTGACCTCCCTACGTACGAGTAGAGATCCGTGCCAAACTCCATAGCTAGGGTGATTAAAAAGAATGGCAAAATGGTACAAGTAAACTATAAAAATAAAATTAGTCATTTAGATCTCTATGTATAACTTTAACATTCAATATCGCTGTTCACATTTCACATGCTTTTATAAATTCTCGCATGTCTTTTTTGTTCACATCCCACTGAAATGGTGAATATAATTAATTTAATCAAAAAATTAATTTGCTTTCATGCGGGGAAACCAATAAAGTGCACAAAACAAGCTATGGAATGTATGTATCATCTTCACTGCTCGCATGCCACGAGCATTGATTCATGAAGAATACAAAGTAAAAAATATTTTGGCGTGTTGAATTGTATGGAATTGGAGTTTTGTTTTGAAATTGAAATTCGTAGAATTTGAAAAAAACAACTAACAAAATTAAACTAATTTTTTTTTTTGATTTTTTATTTTTTTTTTCTAAATAACTATTATTATTGTTATTATTATTTTTAAATTCTACCAATTTTAATTTCATGTAACCGAACACACCCTCCATTGTAAAATGATAAAAAAAAACAGAACACCTCAATTAGCTTATAACTCTGCAAAAGTAATCTAAATTGGCGTACAATTATCAAATCCCAAATCAGGAAAAAAAGAAAGAGAGAAAAGAGTGAAAACAAGTACCCCATATTATTCTACCTGAATCGAAAAAAATGGTGAATGATAGGAAGACAAAAGTGGCAAAATTTAAGTCACACGTTGTAAAAATGAGAATAAAAATACGCACAAAGTATGAAAGCAAGAACACGCTCAGAGCGTAAAAACGATAGCCATTGAAAATGATGGTATAACTTTGGAAATGAGGTGTCTGCTCAAAAACGAAGGATAGACTCACTTCTAAATTCTCTTTCCCTAACTAGCTTCACTACATGTGCACGGATTTATAAATATACATGTATTGCTTCATCCGTCGAGGCATTTAATGTGTTGCAAACAGAATTCACCATACTTTCTGCTTGCTCTCTTGACATTCAGCACTACACACACTAACACTCACTAGGCACCGACACATTTGTATTCACACACACCTTCACTTCGTATTAGCCACGCACACCACAATCACATTCAAGGTAAAACAAGTGGGATGTTTCCCCTTCATATACTAATGGTCCTACACTTTAAAGGTAAGTTGGAATATATAGGTCTGTGATGCTGGAAATGGTCCTCGTTGTCATGCAATCGCTACGTCACGAAATGTAACATCATAAGTAATGACGTAACATTTGGCCTTTTATGGCATTCGATTCCAAAGTGGCATTGCGTGTTACCTTGACCAAAAATCCCTCCTCCCTCCCTCACACGATGACATTCTTACGAACTCATGATATTTGATTTTGGTTCTGATACCACTTGTTGAATGGGTCATGCCATTTCATCGAAAAATTAATTAGTGTCTAGGACACACCTTTTCTGACATTCGACACCAAGGTCTACCCGTGCAAGGAGAATCATTGCGTGGCTACTCTATCCAACAACATTGTTGCTACATAAGCGGTATAAAATTATTGTGTTTGCGATAGAAAGTCACAAGACCAAAAAAGGGATTAAAACGGCTAGCACAGTAGAGGATTCAGAGTAATTTATATAGAGTCAAGTTCTTATCCATTTAAGACAACTCTTTGAGGTTTTATACAAAGTAACTTATATGTGTCCGTGTCTATGTGTTTTTTGCTATGCAAACAAACTAGTAGCAGTAAAAAAAAAAAATGTTCTTAGACTTAGGAGTCTAGAGACCTGACTGTACTTGATTGAATGAAAGATTGTCTTGTGAATAGAAATCACACCCATTGCTAGGTTTGCAAGTACCAATGATAAAAATAATTTGGATCCGATTATCAATCAATTCAATAAGCTTGTTTCAATAATTCATACCCAAACACAGTGAGTTACAAATTCTTGGGTTCTTCTGAATTCGTGTTGCTTTTGGCATGATCATCATGAACTGGGAGATATACGTCTGCTGATCCTAACCGAGTGCAATTAACGTATTCTTGGGTTGAATGAGCCGGTACACCTGCAATTAGCAGTCCGATTAACCGGAGCACTCGAAGAGTACCCCCTTCTTTGTAGTCCGGTCCCTTCGTGTATGGAATGATGAAGCTTCTTATCAGCTCCCAGAACGCATTTATCATCTTCGGTATCGCGGCAAATGGAGAGAAGTAATTCTTGTTTGGTTCTTCCTCAACAACCTGCATCATCAAAACAAGAAAATAGAACTAGTTTTAAAATTGTACACATACATCATATATATATGTATGTATGTGTGTGTATATATATATATATATGACTATGGAGAGAGAGTGTGTGTTAGAGAGAGAGATGCTTACCTCGCCTTTATAGAAGCTATTGTAGTATAGGCACGTCCCAAAGTGCTTAAACGTGAGTGTGGAGTCATCATATGGCAACCTAGGCACAATATCATTACAGTAAACAAATCTATAATATGGTATGCTGTAGTTCTTCAATTGCTCTTTCATGAACTCCCCAAATTCATCATCTCCTACCCTTGGTTGTCCAAATGTATACACACCCTCCAACCTCTTCAACAACTCTTCCTCCTTATGCAATGCCAACACTGCCGGAAACAGAATCGCTAGGGCACCGCCCAAGCTGTGACCGGTCACTATGAACTTCGATTTCTCATTTGTTTTCAGAAGTTCTTTAAGCTTTTCCCTGATGGAATAGTAAGCCGTGGCGTGTTCATCATCGGTTTTTTCGATCTCATCAGGCAAACTTGCATCTTTCTGCAACCCTAGAGCTTTGATGAAGCCACCATGCACTTTGCCCATGCCCGGAAAGTCGTACCAAGAAATGTCAAAGTCTGTGCACCATGCATCTGCATCGAAGGTTTCTGTGCCTCTGAAGGCCACAACAATCATTTCTGGATCAACATTTTTGTCGCGAAGCATAAATGCTTGCGTGGTAGCTTTTTCTTGAAATTCTACAAAACATGACGTTAGTTCAGATGGTATAATCTAGTTAGGAATAATGTTGTGAGTGCAACGTGTTTGCTTAAACTTTTGGGAAAGAAAAATAATAATAAAAAATACTTTTCTAATTTTTGTGGTCTATCTAAGAAGAATATGAAAAAGTATAACAAAGGATGCTTTCTCACCATTCCAAAAATCATAGAAGCCCAAGAATTCCATCTGCACATATATAAAACTATATAATTAGATTAATTGTAGGATTCAAATTGTACTATGAAAATATTGTATATGTATTAATTAATTTCCTAAGGACCGCTCTTAAAGAAGCTTATCTATGAGAATATATATAATATACCCAAGTTATTTTATTGCAAGGTAATGGAGAACGAACTGTATTTAACTCATAAAAGTTTCTCAAAAAGTCTACAACTGAATTATTTAACTTGAAAATACGTTACAAAAGCATAAAGATTATGAGACTTTTTGTGAAAAATAATTTAGTTGTACCCTTTTTTAGCAACAATATTATTTCTTTTATTCCCCAATAAAAGAGATCCTTCTAGCTCATACTGGTCGTAAAGTAATAGCTTATATATATTCGATGTAAAGCATCAATCTATTCATGGGACAGTATGTTCATGAAAGCTACTAATTAACCAATTGTTAATTTAGTCCTATATATCACTAATGTGTGTGTGTATATATATATATATATTTTCCCGGTATATATGTATATATGTTCAACATTTGCATTGTACCTTCCAGAGGTCCTCCACTGTTTTTTTGATATAATCTTTGTTCTCATATGATATTTTAGCAGCCATCACAGAAAATGCACCATAGTATCTGCTGTCACCATGCTTAATGTTCTTGTCTAACTCAACCCGATCGTCAATCTTTCCATTGAATGACAAGAAAGTAGGCCATGACTTTTCTGGTGTTACCATTTTCCCTGCAAAATTTAAAATGCATAAGCTCTATGGCCATATCATATATTTTAAACTCATAAACTTTAAATAAAACCTAAGCTTGTTAAAAGAAAGGTCAGAAGAAAAAACAAATAATGAAAAGTGTCATATATTAGGCAACATGTTGTCACAACTGAAGTACAAAATGTGTTTCATTAATTGTGTTTTATACAAATCTCTATGATTTTAAAAGATCTAGATCGATCATGGTTCGGAAAATTTAATTGCAATTAGGCGTGATACACGTTGTAGAATATTGATTTTATTAGTGAGAGACAGAACAATTGGTTGTAATAGATGCTCTTGAGCTGTAAGGATTAGGAGGTCCTACAAAATGCATTACTTTAATTTGGTTCCAGCAATAGAATAATTGATGCTTACATCTTGTTTAGCTAACTACCCATTTGCTTGGACTTAATTTGGACTAACCCTTAATTATTTGCATCCGATTAATAAATACGAGTAAATAATTAACACAATTAATCATTTGTTTTTTTGGAGACAATCTAATCTGAGAAGACATATGTTATCACATTTTAGCCGGCGATCATGGATGTGCAAGGGACCTTAAGAGCCTAGCAAAAGAAGGTACACTATGATTTTCAAAGCTACTGATCGATATGAATTCTACTATTAGTTTAGTTTCATGAAATGCGTTGTAGATGAAAAATTAGCAAGAAATGATAATGAAGTGATCAAAATAGAGAACTAACCGCGTAAAAAATTCCACGCAAGCTTAAGGAAGTTGCCGTTATTTGACAGAAGGTTTAGCCACATCTCTAGATTGCTACCGAACCTCGCCAAAGGTGCTGATACAGTCTGCAGCCCCTTCTGAACTAAGATGGACACGAAGATGAGCCATCGACGCATGAAAGGTTCATCATGAACCCCTTCGGGAGTGTTCACGAAGTTCCTTTTCTCTATGTCACGGAAGAAGAGGATGCGAATGAGATCAAAGAGTTGGACCTCTTCTGGCTTCAACAGCATATAATTTTTGGAGATGGACATAGACCTGTTGATAGCCATGGCCTTTGTTTGATTTGGAAAGAAAGAATGAGATGATGAATTGGGAAATTATTATTATTTTTTTCTATTGCCTTGGACTCAACTTTAGAGCCATGTGTGTGCTTATATAGAAAAGTTTGGTTATCTGCTCATGGAAAAATTTATCATTGAAGGACAATCAATTTTGGTGGCTAAGTATGATTTGTACAGTAGGGCTGAATCAAATTAAGTACACTCAAGTAGGGCATATGATCACCTTTTAATTAAATGGTACGCGTTTTCCACATTTTTGGACCTTCTGGGATTTTACATGGAAGGTTGAGAGGAAACAACTTACCTAGCTGCTGCTGCCGCCTCCTCCTCCTCTTTTCTTGTTTTTTTTTAATCGGTTGTTTGGGACTTGCTTTGACTAATTCACTTCACAGAATATACACAGAGCGATCTGTCCACACAAACTGGATAAAGTTTGAATCATGTCTGTAATCGTGATCCTTAAAAAATTTATATACGGGGCAATAAGTTCTGATTTTATCACAAATAAAAAATACGGAGTAATATATATATGTAAATTGACAGCAACCTAACTTAGTTTGGTGTGCCTCGCGGAAATTTCAATGATATAATCCCAGCATATGGGCCATATATGAGCATGAAGACGTGACAAAACAGCTGGCTGCCACAACCTCTGAATTTATGCCATTAGATAATTTGATATCAGTTTAATAGAAGTTGCTTTGTTGGGACTTGGAAAAAGAGAATATATGGCATTGAAAAACCTTCCACTATCACATGTGCTTTAATTTTAAGGAAAATTACATATAAATGGAGTTAAAGTTTCATATTTACTTAAAGGCTGAGTTAAAGTTTCATATTTCTTTAAAATGGATTGCTGAGGTGGCACATGATTTTTTACTGTTTAGAAATTGTGGTGCCTAAAATACCCTTCCGCGAAGGTATTACTTTTTTTTTCGAATGTACTACTTTTTTGAACTGAAGGTACTACTTTTTGGTGTCCAGGTATCATGTTTTTTAAATACCCGCAAAGGTACTACTTTTTCTCCGAAGGTACTACTTTTTTGAACTGAAGGTACTACTTTTTTGTTAGGAAAGGACATTTTAGGCACCACAATTTTTTAAACAGTAAAAAACAATGTGCCACCTCAGCAATCCATTTTAGAGAAATATGAAACTTTGACTCAGTCTCTAAATAAATATGAAACTTTGAGTCCATTTATATGTAATTTTTCCTTAATTTTAAATAAAAATTTGATCATGATTTAAAATGAATAAGCTAGGTTAATTTATGAAGAACATGCTAAATAGTCCACTTAATTTGAGCTTAGAGGATTGAGGTGGATGTAAATTTATGTGACTTTGTCACCTCATCAGTCATTTTTTTTAAGTTAATAAAATATCATTTGTGGAGCTATTTAAGCTCAAAGAGAGACACATTTATGATAATTGGTGTTTAATTGACAAACTAATTAAATCATATTTATCTAAAACTTAATCACTCTGAAATTGTTCATGGGAGTGACTAATCATAGAAAACCTGAGAGTTTAACAAGAGATAAATAAGGTTGCAAATATATATATATATATATAAAGAGATAAGGTCAATTGACTTGAAAAATTCGGTCAATTGAGTAATAATACTGCCGGAGACTGTGAAAATGATTGGTGGATCAGGAACCGCATCGGACGGCTCATATCACTCTTGAAGTTATTACTTTAAGTCTGAGTGATGCAGACTGTCCGATGACAACATCAAAACGAAAATTGGTGACTAAGTAGGTAAACGTAATAATCAGCTTTATATATGATGTTAATTTTTCATGGAATAAAATTTTGATCCGGTTCAAATCAGTCATTTGCTTATGTGAACAGACACAAAAATAAAATAAAATCACAGATAAATTAAAGTAAATTACATCACAACAATCACAATCCTCTCTCTTAAACTTAGAAATTTTCATTTTTATTTTTTTATTTTTTATTTTTTATTTTTATAAATTCATCCCTCTGCTTTCTCCTCTACAACACTACTATTTTGTGAAAGATTAACATTTTCAATTTTAATTTCCGGAAAAAAAACATATTCAATTTTTTTAGACAGAAGAAATTAATTTGGAAGCATCTAGAGGGTGCATAATTGAATGATCAATAAAATATAGTGGATGTTTTTTAGATAATTTAAAGTGAAGTACAGTGCTATTAAAGGTGGTCCATCTTTGCATAAAGTTGATTTGTGACAGGAAAGACTGAAGCCAAGCCAAGAAAAAGTTGAAAAAATAAAAAATAAAAAGTTATAAAATATTTACCAAAAGTAAATCATTTCATCTTGGAAGATTTATAATTGCTTTCGGTTCCAAAACAAAGTAATGACACTGAACGTGAAGTACATGGAGAGAATATTGCACAACACCAAGGACTAGAAATTATTTGATGCTGTGAAATTACAGAGTCGCCATCGATCATAACCCAACACAGCGGATCACAATTTGATACACTGAGATTGGGATTACATAGTCATGAACTATTTAATAATTTTTAAACAAGAGAAGTGTGCGAGGCTGATTGATTTTTACCAACGGAGTCACAATGCCGCATGTCATATTTAAGGACCTCTTAATAGTACTGAAACAAAGTAAGCCAACATGAAAGTAGTACAAAATATAGATTCTTGTAATATTATTGGGAGTTGGTATTGACGCTCCAACATTTTTTTTTGGCACTTCAAATTTGACAAAATTACTAATAAGTCCTCTTATTTACAAAACACTCTCCCTAACCCTAAATTAATATTGGAAAGATTTAAATCAAGCTACAATATATGGAGTCAATAAGGCCAATCCGACACTGGCGCCTAGAATTCATTTTTTCATCACTCATAGAGTTGTTCAAGCGTCAATTGTTATGATGTAACCATCTATTCTTGACTAATGGTTGAAAATTGAAAGGGGTGAAATTTAGAATTGCAATGCCAAAACCACCAATATTGTTCTTAAATTGGTAATGGAACAAACAAAGCTTGAATATTTCTTCTGAATTACTTTATTTACTGAAAATAAAACAAACAAAACTTGAAAATTGAAAGGAGTGAAATTTTGGGACGAAATTTGGTGTTTGATGAGATGTTGCGTTGGAGTTTGACGAGGATGCTGCGCACCACAAACCCTCCAATATTATTGCAACCCACTCGATCTCTCCTTCCACCGTAGAGACAAACAATTGTTATCGTTGTTTCTCTCCTTTTGTGCCTGCTCTTACAAATAAAGTATTTTTTCCATCTTTTCATTCTCTCTACTCCCTTTGCCTCTATGATTTATCTCAAAAATATTACTTTAAATGAAATATTGCGGGTGTTTGTTTAGACTTTTTGGAGTAATAGGTTTTTGATATTGGTTTCCTTAACTTTGTTTGCATGGTGTGAAAGGGAGAACAGTGCAGATGAAAAAGAGAAAAGGAAATATATATATAGTTAATGAAAATTCTGTCTTTTTAAAAATAAGGAAGAGGGCAATACGGTCTTTTCATTTTAATAATAAATGCTGTCACAATTGATAGATTAATGTACAGTAAATCATATGAAATGAAAACTTCAGTTCATTTTATAATTATAAAAAATAAAAAAATATTCCCAATTAAATTTTAAAATAGTTATCAGTTTTCATTAAATATATAATTAAAAAATTAAATTAAAAATACTTATTCATTATATATAAACAATATGCATTTAATTTTTTAAACTTTAGAATTTGCAATGAATTTTCACAAATATATATATAAATATATAAATATTTACATAGCAACACATGGGTATACAATTGAGTTCAATTTTATTTACCAAAAAAAATATATATATGGGCATACAATCATTCAAATGAGTGCAGAGGCCTGACTATACTCTTCTTTTTCAATTTTTTTTATTTTTTATTTTTTATTTATTTATTTTTTTTAAGGTAAAATAAATTTTATAAAAAAGATAGAATATACAGTGCAAAAACCTGGCAAAGGCTAATTGATAGATCCAATACATAAACCAACCCTAGCCCAAGATAGAAGCCCAACCAAATAAGTCCAATAATCTAGAGTATATATCACAGCCAAATATGACACATGACAGTTACTCCCAAATCCGGTATAGCAGCCATTGCAGCAACAGGAGAAGCAGCGATCTTCACTAACACCATCCTAATCTGGCGGTCTTGGAGGAGGACGGAGGCCTGACCGTACTTCATTGAATGAAAGACTCTTGTGCATGGGAAACACACACATCACTAGTTTTGTAAGTTCTGATGATCGAAAACAATATTTTGGGCTAGCTAATAATCAGCTAGTTTCAATAGTGGGCACACTAACACTGAAACAACACACAGTTGGTGAGAGTTACACAATATTGGGTACATCTGAATTCGTTGTGCTTTCGACATGATCTTGAACTGTTTGATATAAGTCTGGCGTTCCTAATCGAGTGCAATTAACGTACTCTTGGTTTGTATGAGCCGGTATACCTGCAATTGCCAATCCGATTAACCGGAACACTCGAAGAGTACCCCCTTCTTTGTAGTCCGGTCCCTTTGTGTATGAAATGATGAAGCTTCTTATTAGCTCCCAGATCGCGTTTATGATCTTTGGTAGAAGTGACAATGGCGAGAAGTAGTTCTTGTTTGGTTCTTCTTCAACAACCTGCATCATCAAAAGAAGAAAATAGAACTTGTTTTAAATTTGTAAACACAATTATACATGTTTTTTTTATGTAAATAAATTAAATAATTACAATATGATGATTTTCATGTTTAGCTTGTACAACATTAGTTACTTGTTTGTTTCCTTTATATGAAACGGTTTTGAGAAACTCGAAACAGAAATATAGTTTTAAGGGGAATGATAACACAATGTTCTTCGTAGTTTTGTAAAAAAATAAAAAAAAAATAAAAATTCACATATTAGTAGTATTCACACACGCAAACAAGTACAGCACCTTGCTTTGCAGAAAAATGGAAAGGCGAGTCTACAATGTTTGTTGGACAGAGAAATTGTTACGGAGTATATGGTCGGTCCGTCACAATCTGACAGGTAAGTAAAATTCTTAATAACGTGTCAAGTTGGAACTGACCAAGACAATGTAAAAATTTCTATCTAGTGGGACAACACCCACTTTGAAATAATTTTTTCTTATCGTGAGGTGGAGAAGAAAAAATTCACTTTCCACGAACACATGTGTGCAGAGAGAGATGTAAGGGGAGAGACTAGAGAGAGATGCATACCTTGCCTTCATAGAAGCTATTATAGTATAGGCATGTCCCAAAGTGCTTAAACGTGAGTGTGGAGTCATCATATGGCAACCTAGGCACAATATCATTACAGTAAACAAATCTATAATATGGTATACTATAGTTCTTCAATTGCTCTTTCATGAACTCCCCAAATTCATCATCTCCTACCCTTGGCTGTCCAAATGTATACACACCCTCCAATCTCTTCAACAAGTCTTCCTCCTTATGCAATGCCAACACTGCAGGAAACAAAATTGCTAGGGCACCGCCCAAGCTGTGACCGGTCACTATGAACTTTGATTTTTCATTTGTTTGCAGAAGGTCTTTAAGCATGTCCCTAATGGAATAATAAGCTGTGGCGTGTTGATCATTGGTTTTTTCAATTTCCTCAGGCAAACTTGCATCTTTCTGCAACCCTAGAGCTTTGATGAAGCCACCGTGCACTTTGCCCATGCCGGGAAAGTCATACCAAGAAATGTCAAAGTCAGTGCACCATGCATCTGCATCGAAGGGTTCTGTGCCTCTAAAGGCCACAACAATTAGTTCTGGATCAACATTTTTGTCACGAAGCATAAATACTTGTGAGGTAGCCTTTTCTTGAATTTCTGCAAAGAGTAGGATTTTAGGTATATAAATAATTTTATCTAATTATCAATGGACATTAGTCCAGATGGTATATATGATATCTTTAGTCTTTTTCAAAAAAAGGAGATTGAGTGTTTGAACCCGATAGGGACAATATTGTGAGCGTGTAAGCATTTGTTTGAACTTTCGAAGAAAAAATAATGTTTCTGTTTCTGATTTTTATGATCTATCCAAGGAAAACGTGGAAAAGTATAAAGAAGGATGTTTTCTCACCATTCCAAAAATCATAGAAGCCCAAGAACTCCATCTGCACATATATACAACTATATAATTAGATTAATGTAGGATACAAATTGTACTATGATATATATAATATTGTATATGTTATTAATTAATTTCCAACAGACAACTCTTATAGAAGCTTATCTAGTAAGAATGTATATAATATAAGTCATCTCCCTCCTCAATTCTCTCTCATTGCAACTTTACAATTTTCTAAAAACTAAAACCTCCTAGAGCGCAGTGAGAGTCCCTCACACCAGCTCCAGCAACAACAAACCCTCAATCTGGAATCCCCTTCCTAACCACCTAAAACCTCCATTCTTTCCAAACCGCCCCTTTACAAACCTGAAACAACCCATCTCCATTCTCGAGAAGACTAACAATTCAAACAAGGCCTTAACCTATCCATCCACCAGTGAACCTAAGGATTCACTTCCCCATCTCTCTACTTCCCATTACCAATCCCATACACACCCCCAGAAGCACAAAAAGGTTACATTCACAGACAACATAACATGTCTTCACCCTCCAGATAAGGTCAATCACCAACTTCCCACCTCTCGCTTTATTGATGACCACAACAACATTATGTTCGACATTACGCAACACCCAGTCCATGATTGATGAAATCTTCATATTACGAGTAGAGTTGGCAGAATTCAAGAATAACTACAGATATTCTCACATATTGGAGGAGGTTGAATGGCTCAGAGGGCTTATTGGCATTGGACTGGAAACCCAAAAAACTCTAAGAACTCGTGTCACTGAGCTAAGTGACCAAATCATCTTGCTTAATCACAACAATGACAATGACTCCAACCTGGTCAATATGCAGCTCTCACCGACTCAAGATCCTCCCACTCACCACCAGAACCACTATGACGGCCGCCGGAGAGTTGTCGACAAGCAAAATTTGGATCCAAGTTCAAATTCAAATTCAAATGGTCCAGCTTGTTCAGGTAAGTTTAATCTCATCTTTTCACCATGTCAGGAAGCATCTTTTCCCCTTTTGTCAAATTGCACTACTACCAATGATGTTACTGTTGCTTCTTCCCATGACCTATCTACTGACCTACCTACTTTGATCCACCCTATCCTGACCAACATTTATCTTGAACCAACTAAGCTATCTTTGGACCAACCTCAACCTACTAACTCTGTTACCACCCACGCGCCTATAACCAATGGCCAAAACTTTACCACATCCAAGCCTAGCCTTTCTCCTACAACATGGGCCACTATTGTCCAAGGGACACACACTAGAGCCCTACTCTCCTTTGTGTAGCACGCTGATCACCCACATGATACCATTGCTCCACCTCCTGAGATCAAGAATGCAGGCCTTGCTATTATGAAATCCAATCTCATGGGTTACTTTGTCTACAAAAGTCTCCCATTTGGAATGGTGAAAAACATCTCCCATAACCTTTGGTATGACAAGGGTCTGCTCAAGGTAATAAGCACATAAAAGGGCTTATTCAAATTTCATTTTTCCTCCTCTGAACTTTGCAGCAGCATCTTAGCAGAGGGTCCCTGGTTCTTTGCCAACAAGCCAATCATCCTCTCACCTTGGGAGCCCTGTTTCCACAGGAAAAGTCATTCAACAATGCCCATTTGGATTAAACTTTATGGTCTCCCTCTCTATTTCTGGACTGCCTCCGGATTTAGTTATATCCTAAGTAGCATTGGACACCCACTTTTTGTTGATCCAATTACTGAAAGCAGACTGAAGACTAGATTTGCTAAGGTTTGTGTGGTGGTCAATGTTGACTCTGATTTTCCTTCCATTCTTAAGGTCCATCTCAGCTCTGGGTAAATTATAGAGGTCAAGGTTGAATATTTGGGGTTACCTGCTATCTGCTACAAATGTAATTGCTTTAGCCATTCCAAAAATTCTTGCCATCAAGGCTCACCCATTAAGAAACCTACCCAACCCTCATTTAAATGGTAAGTGGTTCCTTTTTCAAAATGATCATTTCATAAGGACCTAACTCCCAACAAAATTTCACCAAAGGCACCAATGAACTCGGATACGTCAAACCTTGCCCTTCATAAGGGGCAAAATGTTATCACCCATTACTTTAAACCCAATGAAAAGCTCACTGTTGATATAAGTAACTACCATCCCACCCATTTGGAATACTCAGATAATAACTCTCATGACATTGAAGCTGATCCTGACAATGATTCCATTTCATCCCAGAAACCATTTGCACTCAATTGTGTTGTTTCTTCCCACATTCTCCCTACCATAGATAAAGAAAATTCCAGCCTCTCTGAATTTAACTCCACCAATAGTCTCCCAGCAGTATTGAATAAGAAAATTGCTAAGCATGGGTGCAAGTTAAGGAGGAAGCACGTGAAGAAAGTTAAGAAGTCTCCCAATCCTCACAGAAGGAATTTATTCCTACGTAGCAATTTCTTTAACTCTATCAAATGGTATCATTGACCATTTGGAATATAAGGGGACTCAATTGCACCTTAAAGCAGAAGGAAGTTAAGACTCTCCTCATTGACAGAAGGATTGATATTACATCCATTATTGAAACCAAAGTTCAATCCACCAATGTTGATTTTGTTTACAATGTCATTGCTAGAGGTTAGAAGCTCACTCATAACTATCACTTCTCACCACTTGGTAGAATTTGGGTTCTCTGGAGACCAAATTCAGTTGATCTTAATGTACTCAGTAGCTCAAGACAAGCTATTCACTGCCATGTCACTATCTTAAGTTGCAGAACATCCTTTTACATCTCTTTTATTTATGGAGCAAATGATGCATCAGAGAGAGAACTCCTTTGGGCAGATATTGTTGCTCATTCATCTACCCTTTCTTCATTTCCTTAGATTCTTGGAAGTGATTTCAATATCATCAAATCTGCAAGTGAGAATTTTAGGGGCTCCAAGAAGACATCTAAGCCAATGTTTGATTTCAGACGTTGCCTCCATAATTCCAACTTGGAAAACCTTCACTTCTCTGGCCTTTTTTACACTTGGACCAATAAGAGCCATGGGATTTCTAACATTTCCAAAAACTTGGATAGGGTACTCATTAATGATTTTGGAATCATTGTTTTCCCCTTTCCCAATGTGAGTTTTTGCCTCCAGGAATTTCTGACCACAGCCCAATTCTTATCAACCTTGGTAAACCTACAAAGGAAAGTCCCATTTAGGTTCTTCAATCATTGGAGCAGCAATGATGATTTCTTACCACTTGTTCAGTCAGTGTGGTGTAGCTAGGTCCATGGACACACAATGTTCCAAGTTCAGTCCAAACTCAAAAGCCTTAAACATCCTTTAAGATTGAGATTCTCCAAAACTATCACTGTTATTCAACATGAAATCCAGTCAGCTAAAAATGCTCTTACCTTCTGCCAATTAGCTCTTGATTCTGCCTTAAATGACTGTGCATTAAAAACCCAAGAGAAACAACTCTTATCACTTTATTCCAGCTTTCTTAGCACTGAGGAGGCCACCTTCAAGCAAAAATCAAGGGTTCAATGGCTCAAAGATGGTGATTCTAATACAGCCTATTTCTATAAATCCTTCTCTTCAAGATATAACAGAAACAAGATTACAGCTCTCTCCTGCCCTACTTAACACTGAAATTGCCATTAAGCAAGAGGTTGTTGCTCACTTCCACAAGGCTCTTGGTCTGGATCCCCATCTTTACCCATGTATGGACTCACTCACTCCATTTATTCAACCCTCACTCCCCTCCCACTTTATCTCCACACCCTGCTCCATTCCAAGTGATAAGGAGATCATGCACTGCATGTTCTCACTGAATAGTGAGAATGCACCTAGTCCAGATGGATTCAATGCCCTTTTTTTCAAAAAGGCTTGGACAATCATAGGGCATGATGTTACATTAGTAATTAAGGAATTCTTTCTCAATGGAAAATTGCTTAGGGAAGTAAATTCATCTTACATCTCACTGGTCCCTAAATTCCTTAATCCCTCTTCCATCAATGAGTACAGGCCCATCTCTTGTTGCTCAACAATCTATAAATGCATTTCAAAGCTACTGGCAAACAAACTTAAGCCTACACTCCCCCATATAATTGGCCCCTCTCAGTCTGGATTCATTCAAGGTAGGACCATTGATGACAGTATTCTTCTTGCCCAAGAGTTGCTCAATGGGTATCACAGGCAAGGGAACTCTCCAAGGTGTGCCCTAAAAATTGACCTGAAAAAGGCTTTTGACTCTGTCTCTTGGGAATTTCTCCTTGATTCCCTTAGACTTTTTGGGTTTCTATCTACCTGTATTTCCTGGATCTAATCTTGTATAACTACTCCATCTTTCACCATCTCATTCAATGGGGAGTTCAATGGTTACTTCAAGGGCATTAAAGGTCTTAGGCAGGGTGATCCACTCTCACCATTCCTCTTTATACTTGCGATGCAAGTCTTCTCATCCATTGTCAACATAATTACATCTCAAGGGCCCTTCAAACACCATTGGAGATGCAAGAAGTTGTCTCTTACACATCTGATTTTTGCAGATGATTTATTTGTATTCTCACATGGAAGCTTACCATCATTACAGACCCTTAAAACAACATTTAATACATTTTCCCTTCTCTCAGGTTTAGAAATCAATCTTAATAAGAGCCAAATTTTCTTCTCAGGTGTAAATGAGCTTATAGAGATTTCTATATGCTCCTTCTTGGGTATCCAAAAAGGTGATCTCCCTGTTAAGTACTTAGGAGTTCCTCTTGTCACCATCATGCTTAAGTCAATTGACTGTAGGGCTCTTATTGATAAAACTACATCCAGAATTACACATTGGACAGGTAAGCATCTTTCCTTTGCAGGAAGATTGCAGTTAATCAGAGCTATCTTGTTCTCCATTCAAACTTATTGGAGTTCAAAGTTTATCTTACCTAGAAGCATTATCAATGAGCTTATTGGAATTTTTGGAGCTTTCCTATGGTCAGGTCCTGAGCTCAAGAGGACAAAAACTAAAATGGCTTGGAGGTTTCGCTGCCTTCCAAAAAGGGCAGGTGGATTGGGCCTTCCAAATTTGCATTCCTGGAATACAATTGCAGTAATGAGGCACATTTGGCATCTTCTCAAATCCAAAGATATGCTCTGGGTCCAGCGGGTTAACACATACCTACTTAAAGGTAGAAGTTTTGGAAGGTCACTATTCCCAGTCACTACTTGTGGTCTTAGAGAAAGCTCTTTTAGCTCAGGCCAGCTTTTAGACCTCTTGTTAAGCTAAAAATTGGGGATTGTCACAGCACCAATTTCTGGTTTGACAATTGGTACTGCTTTGGACATCTACATTAATTTATTACCACTCAACAGCTTAATAACTCCTTTCATAGCACCACTATCAAGCTCAGCTCCTTCATCAGTGGCTCATCATAGTCCTTTCCCTACTCCATCACCAACATCCTTCTACAACTACACATCATCGACAGGTTGCCAGTACTAAACCCACAGAACCAAGATAAGCTTTCTTGGATTCCATCCCCATCTGGACTTCTTTCAATAAGCCAAACCATGAAATTCCTTACCTATAATCTGCTAACACCACCATGGACTCACCTAGTATGGGGGAAACCGCTGATTCTAAGGCATTCTTTCACCTTGTGGGTAGCCATTAAGCGTAGATTACCAATTTTGGACAGGAAGTGCACGTCCCACGTTGATTCGATCACTTGTGTTCTCTACAATAATACCCCAGAATCTCACGATCCTCTCTTTTTCAAGTGTTCTTATGTCGAGCCCTTGTGGACATTTCTTCAAATGCATTACGGGTTTCACATTCAGCCACCAAATTGGGCATTATTGATCTCCTAGACATCATACCACTGGAGTGGGGCCGATTCTTTCCACAACAACTCAGTCTCGAGATTGGCAATGGCTTCACTAGTTTACAATGTTTAGGCTGAATGCAATCGAAGGATATTTACCAAGAAGAAACTGTCGCAGAATTCACTCCTTCATCTCACTTTGGATGTAGTTAGGACCAAGCTTTTAACTTTAGTCATCCCTGATTCCACAATTGGACAACAGCTTGCTACTGTTCGTCCTTCGGCGAAACCGCTAGATTTGTGAACTCAGAGTTTAACTCCATGCTATGACCGGATTGAGGTGCTGCACGTAATGGTCACCAATGTTTCCCAAAGTGACTTGTTTGGGTTGTCTCCCTAATGGTTGTTTGGGTTGTTGCCTTTGGGCTTGTTTGTTTGATCAGTTAATTGTAATGTTGGGCTGTACTTGAGCCTTTCACTTTGGGCTTGTATAGTTTATCTGCTTTAATAAATTGAATTTACCTTTCAAAAAAAAAAAAAAAAAAAAAAAAAAAGAATGTATATAATATACCCAATTTTTTTTAATGGTAGGTAAAGTTGCATGAACTGTATTTAACTCATAAAAGCTTCTCAAAAAGTCTACAACTAATTATTCCCTATGCTTTTGTAAAGTTTTTTAAAGTTAAATAATTTAGCAGAAAAATTATTTCTTTAATTCGCGCATAAAAGAGATCCTTCACATAAAACTACTTTTTCCCCTTTTCATAAAAATGTCATCAATAGTGTTAAAAGTAATTAATTTGTATATATTATATGTAAGCTTCATTCTTTTCATGGGACTATGTTCATGAAATTAAGCTACTAATTAATCCATTGTTAGTTCCATAATATCACTAATATGTTCAAATGAAGCTGCAAATGTATATACTAATTGTACCTTCCAGAGGTCCTCCACTGTTTTTTTGATGTAATCTTTGTTCTCGTACGATATTTTAGCAGCCATCACAGAAAATGCACCATAATATCTGCTGTCACCATGCTTAATGTTTTTGTCTAACTCTACCCGTCCATCTACGTGTCCATAGAGCGACAAATAAGTAGCCGATAACTTATCTGGAATTACCACCTTCCCTGCAAAATTTAAAATGCATAAGCTCTATGGTTCTATTATTATAAACAGATCCTCAAATCTAAAGAACATGTTGTCACAAGTGAAGAAAAGTCAGAAGAAAAATAATAATAATAATGCAAGTGTGTCATATGTTAGGCAACATATTGTCACAAATGAAGTAAAAAATGTGTTTAATTGATTGTGTTTATATGTGTGTATATTTCTCTATGATTTTAACTGATCTAGATCGGTCATGGTTTAGAAAATTTAATCACAATTAGGCGTGATACACAGTAGAATAATTGATTTTCTTAGAGAGGGAACAATAGGCCCTACAAAATGCATTATTTTAATTTGGTCCCAGCAATGAAATAATTGATGCTTCCATCTTGTCTAGTTGACTACCCATTTGTTTGGACTTTGGACTTACTTTTAAATAATTAACACAATTAATCATTTACTTTTAGACTAATTAACACCAAGACACAATCTCATCTTAGAAGAGATCATCACATTTTAGCCGGCGACCATGGAAGTGTAAGAGACCTTAATTAAAATCCTAGCAAAAGAAAGTACACTATGATTTTCAAAGCTACTGATCGACATGTATTCTACAATCGTTTTAGACGGAAAATTTGACAAGAATGATAATGAAGGGATTAACAGTGAACTAACCGAGCATAAAATTCCACACTAGCTTAAAAAAGCCGTGGTTCGTTGACAAAAGGTTTAGCCACATCTCTATCTTGTTACCGAACCATGCCAAAGGTGTTGACACACACTGCAGCACCTTCTGCGCCAAGATGGACACGAAAACCAGCCATCTAAACTTGAAAGGCTCCTCATGAATCCCTTCGGGGCAGTTTACAAATTTCCTTTTCTCTATGTCACGAAAGAAGAGGATGCGAATGAGATCGAAGAAACGGACATCTTCTGGTTTCAGCAGCATATAATTTTTGGAGATGGACACAGACCTGTTGAGAGCCATGGCCTTGGATTTGGAATGACAGAATAAGATGATCGATGAGTTGGGATTTTTTCTATTGCCTTGGTCTCAACCTTAGAACCATGTGTGTGTGTGTATATAGAACATGGAAAAATTATTCACCAAGGATAATCAATTGAGGTGTCTTGATTATGATTTCAAAAGTAGGGTTTAGATCATGAGGGTTTTCCACATGTTTGGGACCTTCTGAGGTTTTACATGGAAGATTGAGAGAAAGCAAACTACCTAACTTTGCCTTTTGGGTGTGCGCCATGAAATGTATTATTAATCTATATGACCCCATCATATGGGCCATATATGTGCATGTCTTGACAAAACACCTCATGAAATTATTCAATCCATGCCAAAAGATATTTTATTCGAGTGTACATATAGGACGGTGAATATGGATCGAGGCCGTGAAAGTGACCCACACAGATAATAAAATTGGTCACTAGTAGTTAAAAAGTCTGAAACTGGGTTTTTAACTTTGGATGGTGATGAATTGAATCTGTCAAAGTAAATAAGGAATTATGGATGCTTAAATTCTTGCATTGAAACATGTTTTTTTACTCATTCCAAAATCCTGATATAGAAGGGAGAGAAAATTTGTTCACCATGCCGAACGTCTCTCTCCTCTCCTCTCTCCCTCCCACCGTATATGAATTCTTTTTCCTCTAATTTTTTATTTTTTCCTTCAGGTCGAGAAATTGACCAGATGGGAGGTGATAATTGTACTGTGTTATCGAATATCATTGGTTTGTTGCGATAAGGTTGGATGGATGTCAAAATTTTAGTGGCTCCTCTGATTACATGGTCCCACTTTATTTAGTCAATTTTATAACAATACCACATTATTAAATAACTTGTTATGTAAAGGATAAAAAGGTCTTTACAAATTTCTAGTGATGAAAGTGTGCCGGAAATATCTTTTCCGTCCTAAAATTTAACAAATCACGTAATTAGAGGTAGTTAGAGGGGATTATTTATAATTGAGGGGGATTAGTTGCACTTAGGACATAGTTTGGGTGTACCCAATATAATATTTACATATTATTAAAATATTTTTAATTATCATTATTTTTTATTCTCGCTCTCTCTCTGTCTCTTCTTTTTCTTTTTTTATCACTACTTACTATCATTATTATTTTTTTAATAAAAGTCAAATATCTAATTTTTTAGTCTTTTTTGTTTACATTTTATTTTTCTTTCCGGCTTCTCTATTTTTTACTAATCATTTTTTGCTAGTTTCTTTTTGACATTAATCTTTTCAACCAAAAAATATATATAAATTAATCCTTTTTGAACCCGATATTCCATTAATAATAAATCAGATATGAATTCAACTCTCTACTTTCACCTCCCTAACATTATTTTTTGTGAAAATTTTTACATTAATTTTCAATTTTTTAGACACAAGAAAAAACTATTGACTTGCTTTCTTGTAATTTGGTAGCATAGGATGCATAATTGAATGATCAAGAAATATATAGATGTTTTTTAGATTATATAAAGTGTGGTAGAGGTCTACTATTACATACTGATTGGCTTTAACGGAGTCCATCTTTACATAAAAATTAATTTGTGTCTGAAAAGATTAAAGAAGACAAGCTAAGGAAAAGTTGAAATAAAAAAAAAAATATATATATATATAGAGAGAGAGAGAGAAAATTATCTACTCTTGGTAGATGTTTTATAACTTTTGTGTATGTATATATATACACAAAATTGGTCTCTCTCAAAGACCTATAATTGGTTTATGATCCAAAGCAAGGTAATGAGACTCAACGTGAAGAGCGTGGAGAGAGGATTCTATTCTGTGCACAACACCACAAGAGAGGTGTGTGAGACTGACTGATGTTGGGCAATTTTTTGTGAAAATTTTTACATTAATTTTCAATTTTTTAGACACAAGAAAAAACTATTGACTTGCTTTCTTGTAATTTGGTAGCATAGGATGCATAATTGAATGATCAAGAAATATATAGATGTTTTTTAGATTATATAAAGTGTGGTAGAGGTCTACTATTACATACTGATTGGCTTTAACGGAGTCCATCTTTACATAAAAATTAATTTGTGTCTGAAAAGATTAAAGAAGACAAGCTAAGGAAAAGTTGAAATAAAAAAATATATATATATAGAGAGAGAGAGAGAGAAAATTATCTACTCTTCGTAGATGTTTTACAACTTTTGTGTATGTATATATATACACAAAATTGGTCTCTCTCAAAGACCTATAATTGGTCTCTGATCCAAAGCAAGGTAATGAGACTCAACGTGAAGAGCGTGGAGAGAGGATTCTATTCTGTGCACAACACCACAAGAGAGGTGTGTGAGACTGACTGATGTTGGGCAATTTTTTTTTTTTTTAGTCCTGTCAACAGAAGCCCTACAACATCTACAAGAAATATAACCACGAAATACAACTAAAGCCAAACGGCACTCACAACACAGAACAATTGATACAAAAAGATACAAAGAGACCCTACACATTCTAGACCACACAAAGCAAAAAAGGCTTGACAATTTCCATGTGATGTCCAGCACCAACACACGTAAGAAGGATTGAGAGTATACATAGATACCCTACACAACCCTGACACAAAGCGAAGACCTTGTGTGACCCGGAAGCCAAAATCAGACACCACATGAGACACCGGGAAAACCGAGGAGGACCAAGGGTTTCACAATCACCAAACCAAGGGAGTTGACCAATCGCCGGCGAACCACCAACAGGGAAAGCATCATCGGAAACAAAATACCACCAAGAACAAAAAACATAATAAAACCGAAGCGCTAAAGGATAATCAGCCTCACAGAGATGACCGACAACAACAAGCCACAACCCATAGTCAATGGCGGCCGGAAGAGAGGCAGCTCTGAACAGAGCAAGAGAAATGAGCAGCCAACCTACTTCAAGAACACGTCCAACGTGCAACAACCCTAAACAAGAGAGAAACTCCGGCACGCATGACCAAGAAAACAACGCACCTTTCCCAAATAGCGAAGCTGACGACAGGGAATCCCTTGCATCAACCAACCGTAACCTAGAAAGCATGGCTACAGAAAGTATGACCACAGACAAAAACCCGACGCGGACAAGCAAATGGCCAGAAAATAGTAGAACAACAATAGAAGCCAAGCAAACCAACCAAGTATCGGGATTAAAAGGGAAGCACAGTGGAGATTGGCCAAAAACCCATCCACCGTTCAAAACCCTCAATCGAACAACCCATAAGATCCAAAGTTCCATCGAGTCCGACCACCCATGCAAACCTTTGTTGGGATTGAGTAGGAAATCCATCCCATAGAAACACCCAGTGGAAGAAACTCAAACTTTGAAAATAGAGAACCTCTACTAAGAGAGGAAACTTAAACCACCACACCTCTACGAAGAGAGGAAACTCAGACCACCACACACACACACACACACACAAAGAGTTACGGTGCGTATCACATTCCTCATGTGCGGAAATATTCATAAAGTTTCAATTTGTGCAAATAAGTCCCTCCTAGCATATTTAGGCTTCATTTGAATTGAGTGATTTTGAGGGATTTGGAAAGAAAAGAAAAGAAAAGATAGTGGAGTAATATTTTCATAATTCCGAAACTACCCTCTTGTAACATTTGACTCTCATCTTATAATATTTTATAAAAGGGTTATTATAGTAATTTAATTCTTATTATTTCATTTCTTTTCTCTCCTCTATCTTTTACAAACAAGAATACTATCATTTCTTTTCTTTTCTCTCATAATTTATCCAAACATGAATAAATGTTATTGCTATTATTTCCTTTCTTTTCTTTTCTCTTATAACTAATGTTAATATTTCTTTTCTCCTTATATACACATTTTATAAATTATTTAAAAATACATATTTTGTGAAATGATGAAAATGGACACAAAGGGAAATCACTTTATTTAGCATATGAGGGGTGTGATATACCCTTTAAGCATATTATATATAGGCTAGGGGTGCTTTCTGCACTTTATCCGAAAAACAATTGTTGTTTTGAATTCGAACACTCATTTCTTACTTTGTAAGGAATTATATATATATATATATATATATATATATATATATATATATATATATATATATATATATATGAATTGAGGTTTTCATTCTATATGATATACTCTTTCTAATCTGAAAAATGTGAGAACAAATAATTTTTTTTATATATATTTTTTATATTTTTTTTATTTCTATTTGACCAATAAAAAAATACATATGTTAGGACTTTCTAACTTATGAGTGGCATTAATTTATAGAAAATGTATAACTTTCAACTTAAAGAAAGATACATTGTTAGGGAAAATATAGAAGGAATTTTTTTTTTTTAATTATTTTTTGGAAAGGTGAGAGAAAAATTCTTAAAAGTGGGTTAAATGTGCGAGTACATAACACCTCTATACTATGAGATTATTAGTATACACAATCGTTGGACATTTTCGGAAGAATAAAATGGCAAAATGGATATTACAATATTATTTTATGTTAGATTTCTATTTAAGAGGTGTTTTCGTACAACTTTAAAAGAATAAGAAAATTATCAGCATACTTTTTCAAATAGGGAATGCAAATATTATGCGAAGTATACATTAGAGGTGTATATATATATATATATATATATATATATATATATATATATATATATATATATATATATATATATTTGTATAAAGATTGTAACAACAATTGAATACAAAAAAAATCATGTAAAAACAATTCAGTATTCTTAATATCAGAAGAATTTTATTTAATTTATATTATTTTTAAAAAATTAACTATTTTCTCATAACTTGAACGAGAACCAAAGTGTATATATTGACAAAGGATCGGTTCACTCTATGAAATAATTATGTTGCGATGAACGATATTTAGTTGGGTTAATTTCATTGACACCCCCTGAGGTTTGAACAAATTTTACACAGAGAGATCTTTCGAAAATTATTATCACTCAGACCCCAAATGACTTTTTCGTCACTTTTACCGTTAAAAAATTACAAAATAATAATTTTACCCCCATTTTTAAAATATATTTTAATATAAAATATCAATAAACTTAAAAGACAAATTTGCCCTCATTATATATATATGTGTGTATGTGTGTGTGTGTGTGTGTAGAGAGAGAAAGGACACTAATTAATGGTGAACCAAAAGCTTCAACTATAGACCCCACATATTATATGACACACATAATATATATATATATATATATATATATATATATCACACAGAATGAATAAAGCTTTTGATCACGCACATATTAT